ACACTTGGCATTATTATTGCCAAGTAGTCAAATTGTTCCAAGTTGTTCCGGAAGGTTGTTATTAATAGTATGTTTTCTGAGGAAAGTTCTGTCTACTTTTGGAACTGCATTTCTGTTGCCAAGGAAACTCCTTTAAGCACAGCATTCGAGGAGCACACTGCTGCTTTTGTTTGCCAGTATCCTATTCATATCATCTAAGTAAGCACTTTACATACTTCAGCCTCCAGTTTCAAATGTGGAAGTTTCTCAGTATTTATACTTGGCATTAAATATAGTTTGTTCTTCATGTTAAACTTGGGGACACTTGCAAGATTATTTTAACAGTTGCTTTAAAGAACAGGTTTTTTTTTCACAAGTTTTCAATAAATTAGTTTTAATTTGAATAACAGCTCCATAGGTTATAGCACTAGTCCTTAAGTGTTAATTATCTTTTCACTCTGAAATTAATGTAGTCATTTCCTACTGACTCCTCTACACCATTGCTGAAGTGCTGAGGAAAACATGTCATTGAGTTCTGAGCCAGAACTGTTGTGATTAATCCTGGTCACATGGCCAATCTCTGCCAAAAGGAGATCAGTGAAAAAAGGTGACAAAGACAGTGATTTCCTGTCAGCAAAGAGTACGACAGGGCTGTCTAGAAGTGATGCAAATGAGGGAAACTTTCAGCAGGGTTTGTTTGATCCACTCGGGCTGCCCAGGCCGTGCCAGGAGGGCGGGCAGTGGAGCAGCAGCACACCCAGAGGAAGAAGCAGCACCTTGCGCAGTTTTCCACTTGGTTTGAAGCGTATCCTCAGCTTTTGATATGTGTTTTAATGTGATTCAAACCAGGGGTCTGCTTGCCGCAAAGCAAGCAGTTTTGCAGTTAACCTGCCCGAATGCCACACCAAATGCGTTTCTCCACAATTTCTGTGCTACCACAGAGGTTTTCTTCCTGCTCTCACCGTGTTTTCTGTGAACTTTTAAGTGCAAGTCTTACACAGCTCATGCAGTTTGTATTAAGAACAGCATCCATCATTTGTAACCAAACAGAAAAATACAATTTCTTTTATTTGATATTTTAAAATGTTTAGTTAATTTTATTCTGAACATGCCTACAGTCTGAACAATCATACTGTACTTATTTAAATGGGGTTTTAATCTAACACAATTAAGTTTTGCAATTAATCTTCTGAGGGAAATGGAAAGAATTATCATTAACTTTTCTGCATAGTATACTCATTTCTAATCTCCCCAGTTCCAGTAAATACAGATTTGCTTCAGTTTTGAACACTCAAGGTACAGAATTACTCAAGTTCTCACTAAAGGGCTAATTAGCAGAGTTTAAATTCTTTGGGTTTGATCGTTTGGTAACGGCATATGAATGCAGCTGAAGTCAATGCAAGTTCTGTGTACTTAGAGCTTATGAGATCAGGCTCACATGTAGTAGATTAAAATGAAATAAACATAATACATTAGGCATTAAACTGAGTTGTTACAGCAGTACAAAGAAGTGAGAGTCCAAAAAAAAAAAAAAAAAAAAAAGAATGTTTCTTTAAGATTTTCTTAGTTAATAGATACAGCATTAGGGGACAGATGAACTCTCAGCTGTGTGGTCTGCGACTGCCATTCAATCACACACCAGTTAATTTTCAAAATCATTAGTTTAAGTGTGTAAAGCTGAAATCCTTTAGAGCTGCAGGGGAACACTGGGAGGAAAATGAAGGAAGAATAGTTTTCTATTTCTGCATGTCTTTGCACTGAAGCTAGAAATGTGGGGAAGTCAGTGTACATATTCAGAGTTTAAAAAAAAAAAAAAAAAAAAAGAATAGCTGTGTTGCTTCTCTTATATTAAGGGCACAATGAAACCTGGTTAAAGAGAGATAATAAGGATCCTAATAAAAAAACCATGTAGCTACCAAAATATTAAAAAACAAAATTAAGCAGAGAGTTAAATTTGTATTAAATCTGAAAATAGAATATTAGGAAAATAATCTAACTATAAAAATGTATTTTATTTTCCTTTATGAAATTTTAGCATTTATGTATTATGTTAAACTGTTCTAAGGTATGCTTCTCCCTTCTGATTTACCTGTGCTACCACTGTTCCATCCCATTCATAGACATCTTAGAGGCAATGATCACTGTTGGTAACAGTGATACCACAGCCAGATCCGTGCCATGGGCAGTTTGCTGAGCTGGCTTACAGGTGCAATTACTTATCAGCTCAATTACTGATAAATCTGTGGGCTTAGGAGAATCCACCAAAATGCAGTGCCATTACAAAGTTCATATTTGAAACTGTAACTGGTAAGGATGACAAAAGCAAGACCCGTGTTTTCATGACACCCCACAACACTGAGGAATTCTGATAATAAAAGCTACCTGAATATCTCTTTACAGATTTCTTTCCACATGGAGTAGAAAGATGCTGTTCACAGTGGCCAATGGCTTTGAGTATTAGATCATCCACCATCTTATATAAAACTTAAAAAACAATAGGGTGTCACATCTGATTCTGACTACTTAAAAAACAAAACAAAACAAAAAACAACCCACCTATTAATGGCATTTCTGAAGACATTTCTGTTACTTGAATCTCAAAAATTAAGGATAATAAAGAGCTACTGATTTATCTGATCTCTAATTTTTTGCTAGAGTAGATTTTTTTTTCCTTTTGTGTATTTTTAAAGGTCTGAAATTATGGGGTTTTCAATGGTTTTTTTTGGGGAGGTGGTTATTTGGTGTGTGTTTGGTTGTTTTTTGTTTGTTTTTGTTTTCTTTTGAAAGGCTAATAGACCTTAATGCTATTCACTCAGGCTTTTTACATTACCTGAAAATATTCATTCTGGTTTGTGGACACTTCTCACCCACTTCTTAACCAAACTGAAAATTTCCAGTTGTTTAAGTCTTTCCTTTTGCTCCTTAACAATTTGCTTTCTGCTTTCACTATAAAGGTGTATTCAGAGAATATTCCCTGTTAAGAGGATAAGCAGTCTGTTTCTTTCTATCTTTCTTCAAGAGGTTTTGCAGTGGTCAGACTTTTGAGACAGGGGCTCTACTACTGAGCAGATGCCCTTGCTGGGGAAACTGCACAGCAAGTACGTTGATTCTGCACAGGAAGCAGTACTGGAGTGTGTGCTGCATAAGTTACAGTTTCTGTCTCTGTCTCAAACCTCCTGCTTTTGGAAGTGTCACATGTATCATAAGACAGAATTTGGTAATAATAAAAGATGAATACTCCCCATCTTGCACAAACAATATTTCTCATTTTGCCTTCGTCCTCTACTGCCAAGTAATTCATAGATTACTGCCCTCTTCTCACTACATATTTATCCCAGTCTGACCATCTATAATTATTTTTAATGGCTACATTTGGATATCAGGAAGGGAAGTATCCTAGACACCTAAAATACTTGTGCTGTATTAGCACTGTAGCTTTTCATATTTATGAGTTGATTTTTTTCCTAAAATATGATTTATGTTTATTGATATATTTTTTTTTAAGTATACTACTAAGACTAACAGATAGGTTAGACATGTACATGCTGGTCTTATAAGAACAGACACTACCAAAACACGCTGTTTTAGACTTGCAAAAAGTTTATATACGCTTCTGATGTTGCTTATTTCTGAACTTATGAAGAACAAGAACTGTCTGTGCAATTTATTCTGATTAAGTATTTAGAAAGATAGGAAAAATTAGTGAAACGGTAGTGAAAATAAATGATTGACAAAGAAATAGAGATTACTGAATTAAACTCACTTGCAAACTAAAATAGTTCAGATCTGAAGGATATTTCCATTCCTAAACATATTTTAACTTGTTCAACAACCCTTTTTCATAGGATATTTTAAATAAAAGGACTAAAATTAGAGAGAACAAAATGCAAGAAGACCATCAAGAAAATAAGAAATCAAAGCAGGAAAAACTAAATTATGTTTAATAAATTATCATCTCGTGCTATCAAAAGAGAAAGAAAACAACTTTTATTTGACCTTGAATGTACCATTTATTCGAAAAGAAATTAAAAAAAAGCTAGAGGGTAGTTGTTTCTTGTCATTATACTGTTGCTGATTCTGTGGTTAGTTATTAATTTTATTTTTTATGATTCACAATCTGCTCTTTGAAATATGCCATATGCTCAAAGCAATTCAAGGATGACAACTGTCAGAATTACTCCAATAAAAATTGCCTAAATGAGGAAGATTTACTGCAGCCTGATATTTCTGTCAAAAGCCCCTCCTTTCTTTTCCCCACCACCCCTAGCACCCATAGACTGTAGCTTCTCTAATGCAGAATGAAGCCTGAAACAGTTTTAGGATCAAATCACTCATTTTGGACAACTTCCTCTATGTAATCATACATTAAAAAAGTGATAAAGCTTCTCAGTTAAGGCTACTATGATAAATCTAAGAAACTCTGCATATGTATGTATATAAACATACACACATATCTGAAAACTGTATTATAAATATGCAAGTCCAAAATCATTTTGTTGAAATCAAAAGGCAACTGTGATGACTTAACATGAAAACAACTGCTTTATGGATAACTAATAAAAATTAAATTGGAAAAGTCCTGTATTCTGGCAGCAGCAAACCAAAATCAAGGCAAATTTCTTTCTTCCTAGAAGAGGTCTGAAAGGTGGATGAAAATTCAGCTGAAAGCTCCAATCAAAACACGTTTTGTGAAATGCTACCATTTCATTTTTTTCCCTTCATTTTGTTTCACTCTATTTATTAATGCCATTTCATTTATTTCTATTCATCTTGAAGAGAAATCTTTGTCCTTCTATAGAATTACACCAAATAGAATGTGATAAAGGGAACTTTCTTGCAATTATGATGTCGGTGCAGCCTGTCAGCGCACAGGGGATGGAAATGAGGTTGGGGACAGGGAAAGGAATTCTAATAGACACCATGATACATACAATGAACGCAGCGATATCCTGTGAGAGAAAGACTTGTCAAGCTAATCAGATCTTCTATAGCTAGGTAAAGGCAGTAACGGTAACACTAACCTTGTAAAGATGCTGCTGCTGCTCCTCTGACATCATCAGGTCATGGCTGTCCATCACAATGGATTCCATGTCAATCAGCCAATCCCAGAGCTCCTGGTATTCTGAATCAAAGTCCAAAAGGCTGTAGATAAGGAACAAAATGTATTATGCATAAATACAGTGTAGTTGTTAAAATCTTGTATTAGAATAATATATTCTTGAAAACTCATGATGTTCCTAGTTATATTTCTAAAGAGACATTCTGTATTTATACAGAGTTGAGGAAAATGGAAACTGAAATCCAATTTAAGCCAGTGCCATGACCTAAATTCAGTGGCTGATGCCAAATCCTGACAACTGTTGGCATATTGCATTTGCTTCAAAATTTTTTGAAATAGAAATCCTTCACAGATAATGTTGATTAATGGTTTTTAAAGTGTTGATTTCATAACGAGTAAACTTTGCAATAATAATTCCCATACAATTCATATATAAATATTGTTTTCACAGAAAAATGACTCAATCCGTTCAGCCATCCTTCTGCTGTCTATCTGCCTATCTCTGTAAATATCCTACATTTATTTTCATGGATGAGTAGCTAGCATTTCAACTTAAGGCCTTAAGATAGGCTTGAGTGAATATGGTAAGCCAGTGAGAACTAAGGCCAGATACAGTATTAGACAGGTGTTCCCTACAGACATGTAAGAAACAAAGGTAAGGACAGGAAGTCAAAACAATGAATCCTTGAATAGCCAGCAATCATTAAAATTCAAAGGAGGATCACTACGGTATTCAACAAAATAAATCATTAGAATAAGGAGCTTAAAAGGATTAATGTGATTCTCCATTGAAAGCTTAGTGAATAAGTAAAGCATAGTTTCTTCTCAAACACCGTAGTACAAGACAGAAGGTACATGCTAAAAAATTGCACGTTCATCAAAAAGATACACTTTAGAAAGAGATGTCCAAACATCCAGAACTGGAGTTAACAAAAGCCTTGTCACTAGTATAAAAAAAAACCAGACTGATCAAACAATTGTACATGTTCCACTGAAGCTGATTTATCTAACTACTGAAAACTATTTCAGCTTTCCATATCGTTAGCAATGCCATTTAAAAAAATTAGCAGTATTTCAACAGAGAAACAATAAACTAAACACGTTTCTAATGTTATTAATGCTATTGCAGTTTCAGTTAATAATAACTAGAGTACCTTGTGCATGTTAATTTAGAAAATTGGTAGAAAGCAAGCAAGAAAGAGAAAGAAAGAGAGAAAGAGAGAAAGTGAGAGAGGAGAGACAGGAAACTATTTGCCTTCTCTGATATTATTTTCAACAAGCTGACAATAAAGGAAGCCTTGTATAATGCCCAAGTGTTGATTCCCACTTTTGAAGTAACTGCATTCTAATCCACTGTACTTAGTGTACTTTTACTCAATAATCTATGAGGTGTATTTGCTTAAAACTACTCACTGTCCTCAGAAATTAAGCAATGGTGCAATTACAAAGAAGAGCTAGTATACAAAAAAAGTACAATTGTTGAAATACAACAGTTTCATTGGGAGTGCAGGGCTTTTCTCCTCTTTCAGGAGCCATTTCTCTCAAATGTCATTTTGAAACTAAAATAAAACTAAACTCCATTTTCAATACTGTATTAGAAGTGATATTGAATCTTTATCTCTTTCTCTGAAAAGAGTATAACCATTCTTTATGTTTAGTGTCTAGTGCTCCTTTAGTTCCCTTCTGTCTCATCCAAATATTATCCAGTGTCATTAAACTGACAGGCATTTATTAAAACATGTGTTTTACCACATAAGAGACTCAATTTCATTTCATGTAGATTGGTCCTGATTCAGTTGGACTTAGCCCATTTGTATCGGTGAAATATTTGAATTAAGATACGAAATGACTGAATCAAAGCCTAACATCCAGCGTTCGTGGTCTTCTGATGCCAGAGTGGGATGGGATGGGCCTTTGGAAACAGCACCAAGAAGTGAACTGGGATTTCAATATAATGTGCAGAACACATGCTGGATCCAAACACCTGCTTTATGTCTACTGAACCTCATTTTACAATCCAAATTTGTCCATTTATTGGTATAAGAGAATGAATTGATCTTTTAAATACACACAAAAGCACTTTTCCTTGACCTTTACAAAATCCAAATAAGCACCGTCCTGCTGTTTCCTAGTTTGATTCCTAGCTAACATTCTAAACATATTGGATGTTAGGGGGAAGTTCTTTGGATGTTAGGGGGAAGTTCTTTACAAGGAGAGTGGTTAGGCCCTGGAACGGGCTGCCCAGGGAGGTTGTGGATGCCCCGTCCTTGGACGTGTTCAAGGCCAAGCTGGACGGGGTCCTGGGCAACCTGATCTGAATGTGTGTGTTTGGTGGCCCTGCTAGGCAGGGGGGTTGGAACTACATGATCCTTGAGGTCCCTTCCAACCCGGGTGATTCTGTGATTCTGTGATATTAACCTAAAACAAAAAGTGGGAGAAACAGGATTCACAGGGAGAATCCCAAGAAAGGATTTCTTTTTTTTCCTATAGTTTACATCTTGTGCCTCTTTCCTTTTTTTTTTTGTTTTTTTTCCTCCTGATTGTAAAATAAATTTAATGAGAACACTTTTAAGCAAACTGTCTATACTGCTCTTACTTCCTTCCTGAAGAGAGTGAAGCCTTAAAGCATCATTTAAAAATAATAATAATGGACTGCAGTATTTATAATAGTTCTGAAAAAATTCTGCTGTTTTTCAAATAGAAGCTTTGTTTTGAAAAATGAATGACTTAAATCTAAAAGGAAAATGCTGACTAGTCTTTAGTTACTATCTGGAAAAAAAAAAAAAAAAAAAAAAAAAAGATAAACTATTAAGTTGCTAAAAAGATTCTTAGAAGATTCAGCAAACATAGTATCAGTGACATGTTAAGATAAAATGTACCTGCCAGTATTTAGGTGGTATGTTGAATGTGTCTTATGTTGAGAATTGTTTTTTCCATAGACTTAGCAGATCTTTTTCATGTTGCTACAGGCAAAGTGAAGGAAAACATAACCTCTGAAATACTGTATCAGTGTTACAAATGAAAGCTACAGAAAAGCATAGTAGATAACACAAACGCTTTAATGTTAAAGGGCTCCCTTTATACAGGCTTGCTGGTTAATAAGCTAAAATCATTACTATGTAATAACTGAAATGACATTAAGAAGTATACTTTACTTGGTAAACAGGGAATCAGACATGCAGAGTTGCATGTCTAATCCCTTGAACCCTAAACATATTTCTTAAAATGTGGACATCAATTTATTATTTTGAATGAAAATTCATGAGCACCTTCCTCATGAGAGAACCAACTCGTCTGTGGCATTAATAAATAAAAAGGAATGCAAAGCTATTTCTATTAGCCTTTTTTGCCACATCTAACACACACTTGCAGTTTGTATTACTTCTTTGATAGCATCATTCACATGGTATTTAGAAGTACCGTAAACATGATGCTATGTCTGCCAAAAAAATCAGCCACAAAGTTCTTTCAAGTTTCTAGGTCATCATTTTTTGGAACTCCTCTCCATACATGACTTTATTAGGCGGATATAAGAGAAATCAATTTTCTGACCTTCACGTTATCTCATTTTCCATACACATAACCCTCTCTATTGTCATAACAACATCTACACTGCAGGAAATCTTGTTCTTTACAGAGTAACTGGCATCATCCTGTTCTGCAGATACTAATTTTTACTACTACTGCAATATCAGTTTAGCTGTTTACTGCACAAAGTCACTACTTTACTGTATAAACAATTCTCCATCTACAATAATTCTTGTTCTCCTTGGAGGCATATTTCTTCCTCCTGAGCCAAGTGTCCACAACAAGCAATAGACAGATACCAAAACCAGATACTAATTTTCCCAATTAGCTGAACAGCTTCTTGTCTGTACAGATCTCAGTCATCCTGCAACAGATAACTGCTCATCCTACTACAGAAATTCTGTTTATAGTTTTTAAGCAGTAAGGAAAAGCTGCGTAAAATCTATTTTCAAAGCTATGTATTAATAGCTGGAAGACATTACCATTGCGTTCAATACAATACCTCAGACTAGATCAAACTGAACCCATCTGAATTCAGCCCATCAGGTTTTATATAATGGCTAAATGCATGGTGCGCCTATCTCCCCAACATCCTTTGGCTCTTCAATCTACTGCTGAGCCTATAAGACCTAAGATGATCACAAGAGCCCAGAAAGGTGGCCACAGCACAGAAACAGAGAACACCACTAGATCATCATTATCAGTAATATGCAGGAAATTATGAGTACAGACAAATGCATCCAAGAGCCTCCCAATCTACCTCACACGTATGATATTTAGAGTTACAGACTAGATTTTATCGTGAGGCTTAAAGCATTCTTTATAGCCTTTATCCTCAAGAAAAGTAATTCTGTTACTGTCTTACAGTCTGTGTACCACACCAAATTCCAACCTCAAATCTTGCTCACATTCAACTCTGGCTGCAAAATAAGAAGCTGTTTTTGAATACTTAACCCCAGTATACATCTGTATACATAAATGTATCAATTCTAAACAAATTATTTTTATAACTAGGAATAGCTGCTCTAGCGTGTTTGAGAAACTGACAGATTTCTGCATAAGTAATCAAGATCTCAGATAAGTAATCCTACATAATTAGCCTACATTAACTTTTCTAAAACAGTCATCTTTCTGTATAATAAGAGGGGATGTTTACAAGACTCATTTATCCTTACAGTTAGTAATTTTATAAAACTTTATTTCCAACTCAACATTGAGTTAACAACTGTAAAATGAAGTTTCAAGGATGAAGAGCAGCTTGGTCAGTGATGTTCCTTTCATATGAAGTTGAAAGTAAAAGTTCTACTGAATTTTCTGGTTACTAGAAATCTTATATCAGGATGAGGATGTACACTAGCCAGCTCTTTTTCACTACTTTTGCTGCATACTATTATGAACTGACAGAGACGTCCCCCAAAATATCTTAATGGAGAAGCTGGCTACCCACAGTTTGGATGGGCATATGCTCTGCTGGATGAAACACTCTCTGGATCCAAAGAGTTGTGGTTGGTGGAATCAAGCCCAGTTGGCAGCCAGTCACGAGTGGTCACCCAGGGCTTGGTACTGGGACCATTTCTATTCAATATTTTTATTGATGATTTTCAGAAGGGGATTGAGAGCACCCTCAGTAAGTTTGCAGATGACACCAAACTGGGAGGGTAGTAAGGCACTACAGAGGGACCTGAATAGACTGGATCGATGGGCCAAGATTAACTCTATGAGTTTCAATAAGGCCAAGAATTGGGTCTTACCGTGACCCCAGGCAACCCTACAGGCTTGAGGAGAAGAGGCTGGAAAGCTGCCTGACAGAAAGGGACCTTGGTGTACTGATGAACAGTCAGCTGAATATGTGCCAGCATATCTGGGCCCAGGTGGCCCAGAACGTCAATGGCATCCTGGCCATGAGGAATGGTGTGGTGAGCAGGACTGTACTTGGCATTGGTGAGGCCCCACTTCAAGTACTGCGTTCACTTTAGGGCACCTCAATACAGAAAGGACACTGAAGTGCTAGAGCATGTCCAAAGAAGGACAACAAGGCTTGGAGAATGTGCTCTACAAGGAGCAACTAAAGGAACTGGGGCTGTTTAGTCTGGGGAAGAGGTGGCTAAGGGGAGACCTTATTGCTCTCTTTGAATACCTGAAAGGTGATCGCAGTGAAAATGGGGTTGGTTTCTTCTCACTGGTGACAGGATAAGGCGAAATGGCCTCAAGCTGTGCCAGGGGAGGCTTAGGTTGGATATCAAGGAGCAACTTCTTTACAGAAGGGGTTGTGAAGCACTGGAATAGGCTGCCAGGGAGGTGGATGAGTCACCATCCATAGATGTGTTTAAAATCCATTTGGATGTGATGCTTAAGGACATTATTTAGTGGAGGGTTATTAGAGTTCGGGTAGTTTGGTTAGGTTACTTTGGATTTGATCATCTTTAAGGTCTTTTCCAACCTGAGCTATACCATGATTGTGTACATTTAGAGTTGTCAAATATGATTTTGTGAAAGAAAAACTCTTAAAACCAGAGCTACAATAAATTCTTCTCAGTGTGAAAAAGTGAGGGGCAGCCATTCAAGACACCTATTCTGTGATGAAACTACCTAAGTTTCTTTGCTCAAATTTCCAAGAAAACAGTTAAATTTAAAAAGAATTAGAATTGCTGCTTTCTAGAAGTACAAAACTGGGAATTTTAACTTCACTTACATACATGTGTGTATATATAACATTTACATAAATAATACATATTTTATATACATACGTAAGATATACACTTTAGCTCCATATTTAAATTCCTTAGTCACCAGTATAATTACTATTACAGAGAATTGTCTTGCAGTTGTATTAACAAGCTATAAAGACATTTCCTTGTAATATGCTAAGAAATGCTAAGAAATGAAGACATTAGGAGAAAAGTCTGAAGTGAAAAGGCATTACAATTATTTTTAATTGAAACAGTGGATTGCCTCTAGATAATGTTAGGGAGTTCTATGAACAAACCATGACATGTACTTTATCTAGAACAGATAAATTTTTGCAGTAATATATGACAAAGCTTTTCACTGCTTCATGACCTAGGAAGAAAAGTTTGGGTTAACTAGAAGTAAGAAAGAGTATATCATGTAAAAAATAATACAGATCAGTGAGAATAAAACAACAAAAAGAATAGTTCCCTACCCATTACTTCCCACTGTGTGAACTTTTGACATATCAGCAAACTCTTCCTTTCGCTTGCTACTACTGTTGTACTGCTCACTGTACAGCTTTAAGGACATCTGTTCAACAGCATCTCTTTGTGCTTCCAGATAGCATAGCTGAACCTCAGCCTAGAGAAAGAAAACAAAGAGAAAAAACAGAACTTTTTTCTTTAATTCAAAAAGAATGCATTTAAAACAGCTACTTTTGCATTGCAAGAATTTTAACAGAGGAGTATTCACACCATCATTTTTCTCTTAGCATGATAGCAAAAAAGGCTGAACCAGTCAGTCAGATAAAAGTCCACTGTATTCCAAAATACTTGAACTGAAATATTTGAGGGCTATCAGAAAATGTAGAAGATATTCCATAACATGTTTCAAATGTTGCATAAAAATGTCTACGTATAGATACATAAACAAATATTTATCATAGGCTTCAACATTTATCTATTTAACACTTTGCCTGTGCTTCATAATTAATGAAAACCACGTTAAGTATTTTTGTTTTGAGCAGCAAGTGTAATCAAAACAAAAGAAATCAGCAATAGTCACATTCTGCTTTCCCCTTATTGGCATCCACCAATTACTCAGCAATTTTGACTGCAAAGATGAAGGCAGTCAGTTAAAAGTTAAGGCAGACTTTGTGCCTGGCCAGAAGAATGCTGAATAATATTTGGAATCATAACCTATTGAAAAGACACTTTATTTAGTGCAGCTGTGGTGATTGGTTTGATTTTGGGGCTCAGAGAACCAGATGATAGGATGAAATCTGCTATGTGCCACAACTGCCCCTAGGAAAAGGGAAACGAACAGAGGACAGAGTAAGTTCAAAAGCACTTTGGGATCAATCTGCTATTGTTTTCTTTTAATATGCCTCTCTGAAAGAAAAACACATTACAAATTCTGATAACGTTTCAAAATCTGCTACTTCTGCATAACTACATACTCATTTCTATTAGGAAAATGCCTGCTTAGCTATTTGGTACTATGGCAAGCAAATGTAACAAATGGGAGAAATTCTGTGCAAGCACTCTTGCATTTTTTACTGCGGCAGGCAGAAAAGTGAAGAGTTTGCCTGGTTGCTGACAGCACGGCAGAGTTACCAGGCTGTGGAATGGCAGCTGTACACAGACAAAGGAGGGAAAGCACTGGATAGAAGAAATGCGCAAAATCCAGACTAAAAAATGTTGGCAAGTGACATAGGCACTTAAGAGTGGCAGTGGAGAAGGTCCGAAAGAAGGTTCAAATATCTTTTTAAGCATGTCATAATAAATTCTGTATATTTGCTTATGCCTTTCTTCAGCACTGATGTTGTTTTTGCTGAGTAACAATACAGCTAATTTGAAAATTCCATTTCCTTTTCAAATGTATGTTTCTTATGCTTAACAGCTTTATCTTTATTTCCCATCCCCCACCTCTCCCCCCCCTTTTTTTTTTTTTTTTTTTGATAAATTAAAGAAAAGTAGGAAATATTCCAAGGATATAGTAGATAAAATTCCAAGTAAGCCACTCAAGCCACTCAAGACTTCTGGTGTGTACATAAGTGAAATACAAGATTTTGTACCTACTTCTCCAAAATAGTGGAAAATTAAACCGGACAGAGTTACCATTGAAAAAGCATTAATTCCATATAAAACTATGTCAGTCTGGCAAGTTATTCAGAGTAGACTACTAAGGTTAGAAAGGGCTGTAAAACACACTACTTTCAGAAACTCTAAGTAAAACTGTTCATACAACTCCAAAATGAAAAAACGAAGCAATAAATATCATCAACTTCCTGTTCTTCTACCTCCAGTACATTTTCCCACTGAGGTGATAAACAGTCTCTTTCCAAACATTATATAGATTCCCGATTGAAATTAATCTTTGGAAAGACTCTTCAACAGCCAGGTGAATCTTCCAGGTGAGTATTTTGTGCTGTTCACATAAGGCTATGAATTTTCTCTTTTAATTTATTCTTAACAGAAGACCTATTCACTGATTGTTTTCATTTTAGTTATTGCTGACGACAATTTTTTGACTTTCCAAAGCAACTACCTTAAACTAAAATTTTCCATCTCCATTTTAAGCATAGAATTGAAATCATCTGGAAAATTTTCAGCAAATAATTTCCGTCATTTTCAAGATTGACATGGAGATAAGTGATTATACCTCTTGCGTGTTTTCCTTTGATTTTCTTTTCTGTTCTTTTTAATGTGTATATAAAATAAAACCAAACACTTCTCACCAAGTTATCCAAAACCAGGGAAAAAAAAAAAAAAAAAAAAAAAAATCACATGCAGCCTAGACTCAGGAACATCTCATGTGCTAATTAAAACTTATCCCCAATTGATATAACATACACTATTTCTCAAAGAGCACAACATCCCAATACTGCAGGTAACTCTGGGGAACACTTTCTAATTCCTACACCCTCCACCTCCACAATTTCCTCTCTGTCTTAAAAGAGAAAAAGGAAAAAAAAAAAAAAAAAGAAAAAAAAAGCAAGAATCTTTTCACCGACTTTTCAATCTGTTAACTTGCAAACATAAGTCATAATAAAATAACAATTACAAAACATAAATAGATGAAAACTTTAATTTATTTGAAAAATAAGAGAAGAAAATTGAGGATGAAATAGAAAAGTGGAAAAAAGAAAATAGAAGGTGGAAAGAGAAAGTAAATATATGAAAAGAAATGAATAACCACTATTTCTTCTTCAAAGTTATGAGGCCACGTTGCAGTGATGATTCTGAACTGCATTAAAGTCATACATATGAATTCTGAATAGAAATTTTCCCCAGTTCTTGCACCTCAGAAATATGAAGCCTTTATAAATCCTTTTTTTTTTTTAAACTCATTCACTTAATGTCTTCAACTATCACAAATGCTTACAACAACTCTACAGTGCACAGTTTCAGATGGAACTCCGATTTCTTTTGAGTATAAGTTAATCTATCCAATGATGCGCTTAAGCATTTTTTCGTCCATTCTACTCTTAGCAACTGAAAATCCAAAGAGCCTTTGAAGAACTCAAGTAACTATTGATCAGTTTAAGTCTCAAAAACCATTCTACATTCTGCAGAAGCTGAACAGGCAAAAAAACACAATTTAGAAATTAGCATGTAGCATGTGTGTAATAAATCTACTGCAGTTTATTTTCATCTAAAAATCTTTCATAATAATGAAGGAACAGTTTTGAAGTATTTTGGCACCATGCAGTAGCAACTTCATTATTTGCTAACCAAATACAGAATAGCTAGTCGTTATCCTCTAGTTTATTTTGAGAGTCCACTTTCAGACTGTCCTACAAACATTTCTGTGTGACTTAAGGAAACTCTGAAAACTCAAGTCTTTATCACAAACACACTGCTATGGATGTAGATGTCCAGCATGCTAGGATATGCTTCATTCCAAATATACATAATAGAAATTAGAGGGGAGGCAATCATTCATTTGCTCTTAATATTCTAAAGCAGAAGTGGAAGTGAGAACTGAGAGACTCACCAGGAAAAAAAAAAAAAAAAAAGCCATACATAAAAAGAAAAAAGCAAATAATGATTTACAGCTGTTTCGTACTTCATGACTTCATGATCTTATTCCAAGTGATTGTTTCTACAACAAAGATGTAACCACAAAGATGACAAGCTTTATTTGATAACACAAACTCCAATGCCTTCTTGGTAAGACAGTGACTGTTAATTTACAATATTCAGTTGTAAATTAAACTGAGATTTTTCCAATAGTCAAACGTCACAATGCTCTGATATTTCTGAGCCTGGAGAATCTCTGATCAGAACTATGAAAAAAATAATAGTCTCTATGGGAAAACTGAAAATTTTCTATAACCATGCCAAATATTCGGATTTAGTGATGGGTTAATAACTGTAAATATTTGTAAGACTGCTTCAAGGGGCTCATTTGTTTAAAATGCAGAAGCTTATAAATAAACTGAGGGTGCCTATTCCTTTGGACTGGCTTTGCATAACAGCACAGAATGTCCTTTACTATACAGTTCACTACACAACACAAAAGGGGTAATCGGAGACACTACCAATCAATGAAAATTCATTGTATTTCTTGTTAGACCTACACTGTAGAATGACCTTATTCTGAAGTGGAGAAAGGCAAGACATGGGATAATGGCTTACACTGTGGAAGGAAGGAGGTTGAAAGGATACATATAGAGTGTTAAATAAGAGGCTTAAAATTTACACCCATGTAAATAGAAGATCAGAACTCAGTGTTATGTTGTTATACTGTAAACCATTTTTATATTGGAATGTGCTAGAATAAATATCTCTGAATTGGCGTGAAGGTATTTTCAAACACTATTTCCTAGGGATCACAAGTCTTTTATTATTAATTGCATCGTTGTAGACAAACTATTTCACGTTATACAATATACCATGCAGTTGACTTTGCATTAGAAATTTACTCCATCTTGCATTATCCTTTCTATACAATCCTTTCAAAAAGCTGCATCACTTGTACACTAGACAACAATTACTCTAGAATTATATGTATAAATACAGACTTAATTCTTCTGCCATTAGTTGAACTTAAGATAAACAAAAGACTTTCTCTTAAAGCATAGGTTCCATCTTTCACCAATTAGTGAGGTGGTCAGACGACATTCTGCAGCATGTAGACTTAGAATGTTCAATTATATGCATATTTTTAGAAAAACTCACATGCCTCTGTCTAAAAGGATCTAAAAGTACATCCCAGCTGAACACTCTTCATATTCTTGTTATTTATATCCACACACAGAATTAGGAGTAATTCCTTAGTAGAAATAAGTTGATGACAGTAACACTCATATGGTCATATCTGCATTCAAGCTTTTTTTTTTTTTTTTTTTTTTTTTTTCTATTTTCTGTCACACTTTTCTGGCTATATGTCCACTTTATAAATTTGTAGACAAGGTATAGTTACAGAACATGAAACAGACTGTTTTCAGTGCAGCTACTGAATAAAATGATATCAAGTACAGAGCACAAGACATTTCCCACTGACATATGGCTGACAGAAAGAGTTCTTTGCCAGGCAAGAATCTGACCAAAGACTGTACAGACTTGATCATCCACCACTCCATTCCCACAGTGAGACAGCACATCTTCCATCGCTCAAAACACTCTGGGTAGAAG